TGTTTCATAGCCTGAGTGGAAGGCGGAACTTCTGCTTCCGTTGGAGGACCACAAGCCACTACCCAAGGAGCTTCGGTTGCGGATGAGGCAACCTGGTTAGCGGCAGGCCAGCTGAACCGTTCGCAAAATTATTCCGCCCGGCGATCAAGCCGTTCATTCCTATTGAGAATAGCTTGTCCCATCTTATCAGAGAATGTTTTACTAACAGCAGTTCGCCGCCCTCCCGTATTCTGTATCAGTCGGAACAGTCTTTGACTATTCCGTAACGCAGCTGCTACTTTCATTTCACTAGTTATTGTTGCCCACCAGTTCTCACGGTCCTCCTTGAGGCTCTTTGTGAACTGACGTTATAGATGCCACCTAACTCTGGTTTGATACTGGAAGATCGAGATTTGTCCTTTTTTATCCATCAGGGCTACTGATGCATCAGATACCCAATGCCTCCGATGGGATTGAGGCCCGGACCCACAAGGAACATTCACTGCGGAATGCATTACTCGCCTAATCTGATCCCACTGCTCAACTACATCAGCACTTTGAAGCACGCTTAGCTCACGCACTGGATGTGACTCAGCATGCACGAACGGCTGAAACAGATAGTCGATGATGAGCCATACGAGTTTGCTGGTTTTGTCACCGACCAATCAGCCGAAGATTGGATTGCATCAAAACTAATGCATGGTCTGACTCAACGCAGGTGGTCCAACAGGACTTGCACTTTTGAACTGAGCCACACTAACGGTAGCTTACTGCTATGTGGTCGATTTGAGTTAGCGTACCAGTTGAACTAGAGTGCCACGTTGCCGTCCGTCGAGAGCTGTCTTGGTGCTAGATAGAAACAGATGATGCTCCGTGNGTGCAGAACTGAGGAAGTCGATCACCGTTATCTTTTTTCATTGGTAGGGTAGAGCGCAACTACTGCCTAGGCAAGCTTCCGATGCGCTCAGTTTTTCGAACTGTGCGGTAAGGTCACCTGCAAGTACAACTGTGTCGGAGCTGCGACAAAGCAGCAAGAGATCGATGAGTTTAGCATAGAAAGCGTCCTTTTGGACATCAGAACTACACTTGGTGGGTGCATATGCTGATACGATAAAAAACACCTTTTTGTGTTGATTCCCTTCCGGACGCTGATTGAACCCTGTAGACGTACTGAACATAAACCACTTTTGACGAGGATCCACTCGATAAGAGAGGATTCCGCCCTGTTACTGAGTATAATACATACCCCGCGTTGACCTACTGAACGAGATTCATCTCCGCCTGATGCGCGAAGAAGGTATCTCGTCGACAAGTCTGGCGCACTCAAGTGGCTTGCAGTAGTAAGATCCTGGATTCCAGTTTCCGAAACGCAACAAATATCGGTTCGTAAGGATTCCATTGTAAGAGCCAGAAACGTTTTTTGATCTAGCTGCATCAAAGTTCTCACGTTGAAGGCCACCAGATTCAGTGATTGATGAGGTTTCAGAATCTGCAATTCACTTCACGGTACTTTACTTACAGTGCTAGTTTGCAACGACCTTTGACAAGCGGCATCCAAGTTGGTTGAGGGACTATTACAGATTGGAAAGAGGTGCAAATGGAGAGGTCTGGGTATGGAAGACAAAGAGTTAAACAAAGGTTGGGATATTTGAGCAGTAGCCCACATATCATTACCCACCCTGCTCAATGCAATGAGCAGAGCGGTTATGATTAACCTGCGCGACGACTGATGCAATATGGAATTATTTTTAGTTTGTGTATTCATTGGGGTTTGATGGACGGGTACTGCTAGGGTGTCCAACCAGTAAGCAGGAGACCGATTAGGGTTCTCGTCCGAAGCCTTTAGTTCTGATAGGAACCTAACCTCAAAGCAGCGGGCGAAGCGAAGTGGAGGCCCATTTACTTGGATCGATTACTGATCCACCATTTCTTACCTACTTTAACGCAAATTCCAGTCGAACCCCCAACCTGGAGGACCAAAAGACTGTCCTTCGTCTGACTTCTACCCATTGACCTTCCATGATTGGATGATTGGATCTGTGGCTAGACAAAAGCCATCCTGTGTAGCTCGTAGGGTCACAGAAATGCACAAGCCATCACATCACGTCAAGGTGCAGTCTCGTCTTGATGGTTGTCCGACGCTGTGTCCTGGCGACCAATAAGCATCCGACGGTCGTTGCAAAGATGTTTTGTCACACCACGATCAAGAATGTCGTGTGGGAATAAAGGATAATACTCATTGGAAAGTGTAATGAAAGCTAGTGATCTTTCATGATTCATATTATTGAATATACCTGATCCCCCACAATACATCGAAAGTCACTTACAAGGTTATGCCAAGACACTTCGGCATTACGAGGTTCGGTAGCTCATTACAAGCACAATTTTGACTGTTCAATTGCGAGTACAACACATAATGGGGTCGCCAAATGAGCAGGTTCACGAGTCGCAACTGGGCTGAGAATAGATTTGGTTTACACAGTTTCATCATTCCTGATATGTACTTATTTGGAAGGGTCGAACGTGGAATAAAATCAGCCGATCAAAATCGGCTCATGGATAAGCAGGTATTGCGAAGATGTTCACAAATACTCTTCACAACTTCAGCTATCCAAAATGTCTAAGCCCCTGTGAAATTGTTTTGCTCATAAAAATTTAAAAATTTTAAGTCGCCCAGAGCCAGACCACTTTTGGCTCGAACAGTTATGTGCTCAGAACCGACGCACTACTGATAATGAGTGAATTTAAGTACCGAATACCTGCCCGTGGCTAGTATTGGTTATCGAAACACCAAAGTAAAATGTCGTCATTCCAGTAGCACTGAATAGTAGAAGGAACGGCAGAGAGAAACAAGTTCGCTATCGATTTTTGACGCCTACACAATTATGACAAAGCGGTCGTCCAGTGGACTCCATTCACTGTCAATGTGGATTAATCAAAATCCGCTATTTTTCTGTGTTGTATCGACCAGAAAGCAAACAATTCATCAAACGATTTTTCTCAACATTTCTTCTTTAGTATTCTTCAATGGATTGGTGTCTATTTGAAGTTGCAACTTGGCCCGCACAATTATATTTTGAATCGAGTGCAAGGGAGTGACGAAGGAGAAAGCACTATAAATTCCATATTGTCAGCAGGTATATAAGCCGACATTCGGATTTGGATGAATAAACTCACTTTGAAAGTTTTATGATAATTTCGGTAGGTGTTGGCGCGGTTTTGTAGATCTTCAATGGATTCTTTTACTCGGTTCAATTCTTTGCGCACAGTTTCACGATCGGCTGTGGCGTCTAAAAGAACCGGGTTCTGCAGGGATGCAATCAAAATAGTTCAACAAGGACAAAATCAATTTATACTAATATATTATTGTACTAATATTGTGTATAATATATACATAGAGTTATGGGTATTTCAGTGTCTCGAAGGGAGAATAACGAGGAATGTGTGTGTGTGAAGGGGTTTGTAACAGCGATGGTTTTGCGCAATATTTCGATCCACTGCGCTACATTTCTTCCCTCTCGAATCGCTTTGGTTTATGGTGAATACTGCTTCCTGACCCCTCGACAGATTTATGGACGATTGCAGTTATTCATTTTGAGGCATGATTTATCCAACACTGTCTTTCATGCCCTTTTTCGGATGCTTCCTCAATCGAAATATATGCGATCGTGGTGGCCGACAACCAGCGCGTAGTTGCGCCCTCCTATCGACGCTGACTGTGATCTCATTCGTCAGCACGAACACCAGGTCAATTGGCACACAGATGACAGATCTAATGCCCCCGTTTCGTATACGTAGTTTGTAAACAACAATTCTGGATCGAACAAAATTTTGAAGGTTTATGATTTAGGGTTAATGGTTTTCAATGCCTCCGTAGAGATGGAGAGTAGTGTAACCAGAAAATAGAACATGGAGTGTTCATCTACATCAACTCCTCTTGTAGCGGCAAGTCTGGAGTTCTTTTTATCGCCTCCACCAATGGTATCGAATGTTCAACTATTTAGCATCCTTTTGCATTCAGTCTCAAATTTCATCCTTTCCACCTTCTTTCTTTCCTCTGTTGGACAACAGCTTCAACCTTTTTACTGTTGTTGGTGACTTTAATCACGTGTCCACACATCCCGTTATTTTACTCTGACTCAACTGGTGCTCGTTCATCTCTCATAAGAGATAATTTATTTTTAAAATGATCACTAATCCCCCAAAACATTTTAAGTCTGATTCATGCCGCACTCTGGCCATTGATGAAAAATGCCGAGGTTGCTAACTTATCCCTGTTTCTAATACAGGAAAAAGTTGTCGATGTTTTATTCAAATCCCAACTGTTGTGCCATAATTGAATGAATTTAACAAAGGACTTGAACAATCGCGAAACTGCGTAAATATAAAAGCACAATATGTAATGAGGTCTTACCGTTCTCTACGACCAACCTGGAGCGAGATTCGATATCAACCTTTATCTGGGAGTGAGTGTACTACGAGAGTGAAAGTTATCGAAACCCTGCCTCATCAATGCAACGAATCATGCGCTATCCAAAGTTGCACATACGGGATACCAAAAACAAAGGGCTCAGTATTCGATTCTCTTCTAACGCATCAAGCAGAATAGACAGTTACTTCTTTTGACTGGTGAAAAGAAATTCGTTGGAAAATCAGGTCAACAAATCATCTTTGTCCGTCTGCTGTATTGTTCTTTAATCATCAGTGAGATGGGCCCAATGCCAAATGAACGGGCGATGCGATTAGCATGTATTAGTAAAATCAATATGTGCTCTCCCTTGTTCGGTGTTCACAAACGGCCACATATCGGGGCCAAATCAGCTTTAGCTGAAATTCAGCCATCAATTTGTCAAAGCTGAAAAATGACGATTGGGGCTAATGTGTCCAGACCATCCGCCATTGTGTTTGTTTACAACTTTTCTCAGCCGCGACCGAATTTAACTATCGTCTAACTTTGTGGTGTTCAATTTTTCTCCCTCGGTCAACGTTCGCCTTATATGTGTCTCTCGCTCGAACTCGCTTGAACTAGCAAATCCTTCCGGCACGTATTTCCACATATAGAAATGATGTAATTCTATATCTTGTTCCGTTATTGGTTATTTGTAAAAAAACAATTGGCACCCACCTCAGGGAAGGACTCTTGGATTAATTTTGTTCCCTCGGTATTTAGTACTGAACGGAATAATTACCCTCATGAAACAACAATAATTTATCAAGAAGAATGAACTCCTATACTGTTTCGCACGCAATATTGTTTAATTCGGACTTGTAACTTTCAAACCACAACATGTTTTATCCGGACACCCAAAGTCGCGAAAATCCAAGTGGTGATATGATAGAACTAAGACCGTTGCGGTGAGAGCTAAAGTTCGCAATAAATACTCTTCACCCATATAGCTATCAATATACACGTCTGATAATGACAACTGAAATGTATTTCCAAAATGAGAGTCATATTGCTCAACTTCGGGTAACGAATTGATTTGTATGATTTCATTTTTTGCACTGATGCACCAGGTCAGCCAGGTCAACGAATCTGGCTGGGTAATTTGAAAACGAAAATCACCAAAACCCCAAAAATCATATTCAAACTCACATTGATAGCTTGTTTCGCCTCCTTCATATCGTGCAACAACTCACGGATGTCACGATCTAGTGAGCCAAAGAACATGTCCACACAAACATCTCGCTCAGCCAATGATTTGTCAATGGAATTTTTCGCTCGTTCAATCGACGGTACCATGGTCTGGAAATGTGATCCGTATCCGGATGGTTAGTCACAGTGATAGAAACAAAACAGGACGAGTTGTGTATTGATGTATGTGTATGTGTGTGTCTGTGTGTGAGTGCATGCATGCCTATGTTCAAGCTGTATGTAACTTGAAATACATCACATTTATGAACTGCCTACTGTTTTGGCCGGCCATCTTCCTTCGTACAAGACACAAATATCATTTCACTACTGATCACAGAGTTCAACTCACTTAACGGTCAGGGAGAAAAGCTTTCAGTCATTTTGAATACATATGGTAATCCTGTCCTCCTAAAATGCTATTGTTTAACACACAATCATAACAAGCATTATGACGAAGGAGAATACAACTGATGAATCTCGTGATAGCAAACTTGGCGAAATAACACGCATTAGAGTACAGTCACTCACCTCAGTTGGAATGCTGCGTTCAAGCTTGGTTAGTATAGTTAAACAGGAACAGTTGCTACATCGATAGGGTACGAACATTAGCCACTAACATGGTGACCGAATTGAGAGTAAAACCATTCACGAGTTAGAGACCGAGAGCCGATAGACTATGAAGCAGGGTACTAATTAAGCAAAGCTGGTAACGTCCCTCTCCCCCCCCCAAAAAAAAAATATATATATATAAAACGACCGAACATTAGGTCCAAATTTTTCACAAGCAGGGTGATAACTGAGTGCGTCTCGAGATTAAAAAGAGGTGAAAGAGCCATCGTACCTGCCACAGCCAGAATCTGGTCTTTGATTGGCCAAAGTGTTTTCCGTTCTGCAAGACCTTTATTAACTCTATTGGATACGACAAGTCCCAAATTTCTTTAAAAGCGGTTCTCCGCAGTAATCGAGGTATCAGCTTGTTAGCATCTCTACTGAATACGTTATCAATGGCAGATATATTTGCTTCCTAGCTTTTCGGTTCAGGCTTCATTTGCTATATAGACGGAAAATTCCCTTTTGAAATTGAATCAAATCCTCCATTACTCACTTGAAACAAGTAGTTAGGTTGTGAATGTTTCCAACCCAATCATAATTGGAGACAGCCACCTCCCGTAGTGACAGCTTCACTCTATGCAATTTACTAAAATTGTATGTTATTCGATAAAATTCGAATGATTCTAGCTAGGAGATCCCACATTAACACTAACTCTGTGTGTTATTATTATTATTATTATTTTATTCTATTCTATTTTGACGTACATCACTTTTATTCAGAATAAAAAAAAATGAAGATGAGATTGTAAATTAATCAACAGAATGACGATTTCACTGAATATCCTCGCTATTGACTGGTCTTGATTATCAGTTCAATAATCCTTTTGTTCTTTTCAGTGACGCATTGACACAGTCATTACCGTTTCCGATTTGTGCCACCTTTTGGAAATTTTTTTCTCGTCTACTGGAATAGTATACACACTGTTTTACAGGACCGAACAAACCAAGCTTCCATCGAGGAAGTCAGCCTTTAATGGGCATTATCGAGTAAGTTACTGTGATTGCAGTTTAGCTGTTTCCGCCTCAAACATCGTACCACATTGTGATTGTGGGACCTACTACACGGTCTGGTAATCTTATAGGTGCTGACATTAACCTTACGTGAGCATGAATGCAGCTTGCATCAATCTGTCAACCGTTGACACATCACGGTTACCAGTTACGATGTCTATCGCACCCATTTTAAAACTGAACTTGATATAAGGAATCCACGGGTGAGGGTTGGGGGTCTACAATATTCTGTCGCATTGAAAGTTCGATTTTGTCGACGTATTTTCTCAAAAATGGTAATAATCGTGTGCGTAGGAGAGAAGATACTTCAGAAAATGTAGGGGAATGCAAGACTTCTGTCACGCAGTATTTGTGACACATTTTCGGCTTGATTGCAATGTAACGGGGAATCACATCAGGTTAAAGTGTTTGTGTGAAAGCCAATGTGGTTCATTCTACCGCAAAGTAATCCAACATGAAGTTCCCAGTTATGGTCAGTTTTATAACGGACAGTTGATTAGCTCAAATACTGAATTGTATAGTATATATACGGATCTATATGCACAACGATCGATGTAGATGTAATTGAAGGGCAGCAGTAAGGTTGTGACAAACGTGTTCTGCAAATACAGTAGTGGTTGGTTTAGCCTGATCGCGGTCGTTTCGGCTGTGCACAGAATTCTGTCTCTCTCCTTTTGATCGGTTATATGCTGCTCGGTAGACCAATTTGAATGCCCCCTTTCGTGTCAGTTCGTGAACCGTGTCGAGTGCGCGAGCTAGGATGGCATTGGCCACATTTATTATCCTTTTTAATAGCTGGACAGTGTTCTAGAATCCTCTCTGACAATCGCTTAGTGATACTTCCTACGGATTCCGCTCCGCAGGAGCACGAATAAGGGTACACACAAAATGAGTTAGACTGACTAGGCAACTTGCCTTTGTGTTGTAACTGCAGCATTGGTTTCGTATCAAAGGAGAGACAGAATTTAGCAGCAAAGTAAGTTCTTTCGATGGCTTGGGATTATCGACCGGTTAGCATTTCGGCTAGCCTATTCCCCTTGAAGTCATTTGTTGCATAAACCTTTTTATTTTAGTCGTCGTAAAATAAAAAGTCTAAGAATCAGTTGTAGTGTGCCTTTTGATGAAGTTTGCTGCACAGCCGTTTTCCCTTAACGTGTTGCTTATCAGACTTACATTACAAATGATCACGCCATATTGTGTCTACTTGTTCGATTGTGTACTGTATTGACCTGATGAGAAGTACCGAAAAAAAAACACCGATCTGTCCTCACCACCTTTAGACTTCTTTGACAGAACAATGAATGCATTATGCAAGTATGAGAGAACTTACGTGATAGACCGCGTAGTCCTCTGGCGGCACGGGTACCGAGAATGCTTCAAGCATTTCATACAGTTCCTTGATAATGTCAGCCTCCTTTTCAATCGGATCAATCTGAGAGATGAGACGATTGAGAAAACAGAAAACGTTAAAACTCAAACAGTTATACGTCTTTGCATGATTCTATTATTATAACAATTATTATTATTATCCTTTACCTCTTAGGTACACGTAAATTATTGGGAACAAATTATTCTTCGACTCCTGTTTGGTTCTTATCTGTTCTGGTATGACGAAATCAAGCAATGAAACTATGTCAGAATATTTATCATCGTGTGATGTGATCGGTTCTCTGTGCGTGCTTTATCTAATTTGAATCTGAATATGTGGTTACCGTTTGAGGCAATAAAAATCGAGTCATTTGCGATACCACTGAAACTGCTTGTATGCTCATATCCCACAAATATTATCCTTGTACATCCCAACTCTTATTCACTTTGTTTTTCAACTTCTTCATTTCCACGGGGTCAAGAATCTTCCTCTTTCATCTATTATTCTCCTCGTGTTGTTAAAACAGCTTCGCTTGCGCCCTGAACTATTCCCTTACCTTTTTCGTCGAGCGTCTAACTCTTTGCAAGGCCCATATTTGTCCAATTATAGAATCGTGGAGTAATGTCTTGGAACGGGTCCCGGACCATTCGCCTTTGCAACCAGTTATCAATCTCCGTTACATCTCTTTCCTGTCTCTTTTCTACCGGTATTACCGTCTAATCGGAATGATCTAAATCGATCATATTCATAACGTGTTCTTCAAATGTGAATCCACGATGACCTAGCACTCACTCGTGTCTGTATATGGACCAGGAACTCCAGATGTTTTACATAGTCCACCGTCGAACCCGGAGTAAGTGATAAAGTATACTCTGCTTCCTGGGTTTCTTGTACAATTCGATCCACTTCGACCCGGGCGTCCACGGGGAGGATACTGTGTAACAGTTCCAAGCATCGATTAGGTGACGGTAACAAATGATTGCGCATGGTAGACGTGTCCACGAGAAACATTCCTATTGGTCGTTGATTGGGCACTAATTGAGTCATTATCACTTGTCGGTGATGCTTGAGCAAGGCATCTCGATAGAATTTCAAGTCTTTAAAAGAACAGAACAAAATGGGAAGGGAGAAAATCAAAGCGCATTAACTCAATAAGGTCCATGAGAATCAACAATTTGGTCTTTTTTTTTATACAATCTTAGGGTTAAATTGCTCACAGACAACTACTTGTACATCAAGAGTTTGGTGAAAAAACAGACCAGTTAACAGGTCATGAATATCGGCAATCTTCTACCTTATTTTGAAGGAGAGAGAATAATTCAATAAAAAAACAACTTTGAGAACGGAAGGAGAGAGAAAAAAGGTGAGGTTGAAGAGACAACACGAGTGCAAGCATTTTAATAATTTACTTAGATGCATCGGTATTCACTCTTGCCTTAATTATCTAATCAGCGAAAATTAATAATTTCCTACTATGCATAGGTCAAATTCGTCTTTAACTATTTCCTGCGGATAATTGTTATACAGAGGACTGTAGTATTCATGAGAGGAATCGGAATCGAATGGCGCAAACTCGTATTCGGATTGAAAACCCACTGAACGACGTAAATTTAGCTAGAATCAAGATGAGTTGTGCGACTGTTGATTCTATTAGGAAATACATTCAACTCAATGTCACAAGCGTCAAACAACCATTGGTCTATTCTTCGGTGTCCAAGAGATAAGGATATGGCTCATTGGTTTACTTTCTTACAGTCAGCCAATCCGTTTGGTGCTGCTAGAGACCTAAGGATCGATCGGAAAATCCCTTTCCTGATCAGCTACCTGGAAGCTGTACTCTGATGCCTGCATACTCGTTGCACGATCATCACAACAGTTCAACCAAATATGTGAACTGAACCATCTAACTAAAAAAGTGGAGGATGCTCTAGGGAGACGAGAGTATATCAGCCCGGATGTGCTAATCGATTTCAGTTTTTACAACCATTAACCATGCACCGGTTTTGGTTGCTGTTTTTTGGTCGCCCATTTGGATAAAAGAGAAGAACGAAGATTAGAAAGTTGAAAGCAAATTGAATCTGAAGATGGAGCATTCATAGGTGTTGGGGGAATAATGAGTGGATGCATGAGCGCCAGTGTTTGCGACACCCAGCCATATCACTCAGTGTCTCTAACCATTTGGTACGATCATCCCGAGGTTCCCATCCAAGGAGCCTAACAGGACCTATGTGAGCCAATCTCCTGGCCAGGGTTTCCACACCCTTAAGCCATTTATTCCTTTGACCGCGCTTGATCTTTTTTTCAACCTCTACCTGCCTCGACAAACGCTGCTCGCCGTGGCAAACTATTTGATGATATGCGTAACATATGCCCCAACCAACGTATCTATGGAGGTCATCAACTTGTTCCAGTGGACGACCGAGATTACCTAAAACTCTATGCATAACCTCAGCATTGCTCCTCCGGTTACCCCATCAGACTAACATGAAGCTAGAATTTCCGTACGGGGTAAGGCATGCTTCGGGTTCGCGGGAGAGATGTACCTAAATGAATGGCGTGCACAAATAGGTCAGTGCTGTTTCAGGAGACAACCAGTCACGTCGTCTACAGCGTCCTATTCATAAACTTAGTGTCTCTTTTGAACTTTAACAAAAATGAGAGGAAAACGGTTCCGGGAGCACATCTCACGCTGAGGTAAGTTTTTTGGGTCGTTTTCGGAGCAAAGGTTACCTTGGGTGGAGACTTGGGCCACCCAGTCAACCAACCCAGCGTTCTTCTGTACTGGTTTGTGCAAACACTACATGATGCAATCACTAAAAGCTGATAATGAATTTTAGAACAATTACTGCGAAGAATAGAAGTTCACACCGACCTCTTATTATCTTATTCTTGATGATGAACAGTTTTGACTTGACGTAAAACTTTCTGACATAATATGAATCATATAAGCGGAATAAATTTTTCTACCAATCAGTGCGTGTGGGCTTGCAACGGAAATTCGCTCCACTTATTCTGTTCCGGGATCGCGTTCGCGCTGATTGTCCGAGCGGATGCGCAATTTGTTTTTCTAAGCACTATGCACTGAACTAGTACAAACAGATACAGCTCCCAGTGAAGATTGAACATTATAGCGACCTTATACGCTGGCAAATGGACAACTACAATGGCGATTTTTGGTCCTTCTGGTAAACGACAAGAACCACACATCGCTTGACAAAAGTTGAACGAAAATTTAAACAAGCAACTTACGTGTACGTAGTCGATCCTGGTGGTTCATGTTGTCACATGCCACTGTAAGAACAAATAAAACATAACAGGTTAAACAATGGAAATCATATCGGTTATATGTATGTACATATGTCACCGTAGGTACGAGCTTTTATGAATAATCGCACAATTTGTACCGTATTGATTGAATGGGGACTTGAACCTTCCTCTGCAAACACAGGGCACATTTAAAATGCGATGAAAATATTTGTGATGACCGACAAAAAGAGGTGAACAACTGCTTCGTCCTGTTTGGGACTAGTCAGCAGTGCGTACTACTTTTTGCGAACCATACCGAAACGGTTCCCATTCGAAACTTCGTTTGGTGGAAATTTATTCAAAGGTTTGAATGTTTTATTGTCACTAACTGAGTCCTTATTGTATTACATACATATGATGATATATATATCCACGAAAACGTGAATTTTTATAACTTTTGTTCTTAGTTGTGACCTTGAAGCTATTTAGATGGTTCTCGCTTCAGGCCACTTTTGTATCGTTTTCCAGGTTCTTGGTTGGAATCCATGCAAGTCCGCCATTTAATTGCAACGGAACCTGCATGTAACATTAACGTTAAGGCGTTTTGCGCAGGATAAAGGGCTGATTGAAAAACGTCTACGGATCATTTGATAATTTGATTTTGGAACATTTGGACCAGATTCAATACAGAATGTGGTGTAATCTTTCCATTGAAACCTTTCCAAATAGCGTGGAAATATTTTTAAGTCACAGACAAACATCACCCATGTTCGTTTCAGACAGGTTATTGTTTAATATTCTCAAAGTTTTAAGTATTTTCATTATTATCCTTTTTATCATTACATATACATTTTAATGTTGTCATTATGTATTTCATAGATCAGCATTATTAGATGATTACGTACATCCTTTCATTATATCGTGTGCTATCCTATTTTTATTTGTATGTTACTCATGAGTAGTATGATTTTTAACCGCGAAATTTAGCATTACGGAAGTCCGCGTGTATTGGAGTTAGCGATATCGTGTCTTATGTCCAGCTTAATCAGTTCCTCATAACTGGAAATCACTTACACTGTTGTGCCTGCTTGATCACTTCCACTGTGATTTCGCCATTGTCATGATAGAAATCGTGAATTTCTTGAAATGTGTTTAAATAGGCCGAAACAGATTCGAACGCTCTCGTCAAGGACAATTTCACGCTCTCGATAATCTCTTTTAGTCCGGTATCTTCAGCAAACATGTGTTGCAACTGTGGCCCAACTCCACAGGTTTTTTCCTCAAATTTGTTATTAATGATAGGGCGCGTGAATGCATCGAAATACGGATCCGGAACGAGGTTTTTGATATTGAACACTTGTTCCTGACGGTCAAAATTTGAAATGAACGAGAGGAAGAAATGAATTTGTATAGCATGTAAAGATAGGTCAGTTTGTGTCCCCAACTTACGCCGGGGAGACGGGAGCCTCTAACCCGTGCATAGATGTGGAACTCTAGACAAGTGGTCTATTAGCTCAAATCACGATGATGATTCGTAATCTCCTACTCTGACAGCTACATTATTTTCCTATACTATGTACCCTAACCCCCCCTCCGCTCGTTATTGTTATTGTTAATATTGCTATGGCGTTGCCACTAAGCTTGTTCTCAAGCCGGTGTTAAATATGTATATATATACCATAGAAAGGTAAATGTAGTGTGTATGTCTGTAATATAGTTCCACTAAGGCTTCGGATTTCTTCGAAATGGAACAGCATAGAAATCCTTCGGTTTTGTGCAATTTTTTATACTGCTGCACTGATTATCTTTACTTTTGTAGCTCTTTTAGTAAACCTCAATCTGCGTTTGCATGGATGACCATGTAGTTACCATCCGCACAGATTGTCAATATTACCACACGATTATCCGGTATGTCTCGTATTCATATATTATCGGCGTTTGTGAAATTCAACTAATGTATATGACCAAACGACCGATCGACTGATTGGCTGACAGTTAGATAGGTTAACGGACGGACAGACAGACCACTTTGTCTACATAGGTCAGATCACGGACTGAGTACGGACATGGGTATATACATATATCCTATAACGATTGAGGAAAATTTGTCACGAAATTGTTCAGTTAGGTAGTGACACATTTTAGTGGCTGTTCGTTATGCAATACAAAATCGGTAACGATCATCTGAAGTACTTTATTTGGCAATTTCGATCGAGGCTTATTAGAGTTGAGCTATGATGCCACAGAATCAAACGGCAGTAAGTTGCCAAAACCCTTAGAGAATAAAGTTCATGTAACAGAACCACCTGCGGCTGTTTACCTCATACCTGAAATTTATTGATCACTTCCAGAATGCCATCTCGAAACAGGGGTTCATCTGGAACCATGTACAGTCGATTGGGTTCCAGGATAAATTCCAAGACAAACAACGGTGTTTGCTGTACCGCTTGTTCTGCCTCAACAAGCGAATGCCGATGGCCAGTCTGAAAATCAAGAAAAAAAGTAGATGTCACTCAAATTCTCTCACATGTAATGTTGGACGAGGGCCAGACTGAATACTAACTGGAAAGGGTCAATGAAGATGTAATGTTCCATACACGACTGAAAGAGCAGACTCAAAGACTTACCCCCAAATCATCCACCAATGGCTTCTTCGGTAGATATTATTACTATTATTTCACAAAAAGCTATTCATTCATTCCTTGGAAAAAAACTGTCGATATTGTAAGGGTTATGCGCAGGTAGTAGGTAAAACAATATATTTCAAACAGAACAAGGAGTGGCGAACAAGCTCGTTTTTAGTGATTCGTGGTCATGCCAAATACATCACAACAAATATTACGCTGTTTATATATAAATCAGTATTCAACCATAAAACGCGAACAGTTGTTTTCGGAAAGGGAAAATAACCTTATGGGTTATCTGGGATTAATTTCGTCTTGGGACTGGATGTGGAATTCTCAATGATCACATAATTGTTAGGTCATCCGATCGTTGGGACCGCTCGGAATATGGGATATATGGGGAGTGGATCAGGGGAGCTTAAGTGCCTGCACAAATTGTTTTTGGGCACACAGAAGGGGATTGTGCAGACGAATTCCTACCACTTTCGCTGTGGCCATCATACGACGTCGTAACTACCTTGATAATCGAGCACGAACCCGATACAAGGGACGGAATGCCTCGGTCACACTTACAGTATGATTTGTTTCAACTAAGTATGAAACCACTGCACTAGTGAGTGACTTAATCAGAAAGAAGTCGGTATACTACCTTTCGATCTACTGTAAATTTTATAGCCACACTCAAGGTCGTGCACATTCAAATGGTGATAGAAATGAACTGAGAACATAGATGTTGGAGATAAAGTCAGGAATAAATACACTTTACTCATAGCCCTTTATATATAACTGATATTGTAAGCTGAAATGGATTTTCAAAATGAGGGTGATGTTGCACGAGTTTGGTCAACACCTGTATATTACCTTGCCATTGAAGGGGAGTAAATCAGCATAAGTGGTGGCCTGATGGTAGGGTCACCTAATTATCACCTCGGAGGACAAATGCTCAAACCCCACCACCATCGACTGACTTTCCCCATTCCCTGTGTTGTATGCCAGCCCGTTGATTGGCCGCTTTTCCCTTTCTGAAAATTGTATCATTCGATGTATTCAATCAAAAGGAAGTCAAAATGGAAAGAGAGAAAAGGTAATACAAAGGTGATTATCTGAAGTTGCTAGTAATACCTTCTATGAAACAAAGCTCAATGTTTTGTTCACTTCCCAGCCAATCGGGCTCACGTTACCATCTGTCACCCCCCAGGGTCAATTTTATTGAATAAAAATATACTACCCATCAGTAGTATAAATTTACTCCCACTCCACACATTCAAAATAAAAATAATGAAGGGGAAAAATGGTATACTAGTAGCAAGTGGCATTTAACATGGATATGATTGCGCCACGTGTTGTAAATAAGTTCCAATGTCATTATTGAATGTTTGTACAGGAAAATTAAACTACATTCGGTACCGTACCTCATCCAGATGTTCCCATATAACATCCCCGACTAACCCGGTAACATTTTTCAATCGTCTTTTGATATGACTCCAGTAGGACTCCACATTATTCGTGTGGAATAAGCAGACCCGCGGGGGGGGGGGGGACTTGGTAACGTGCGCGGCCAATTGTGTGTTTACGACTAAAGGACAAAATGTTGGATTCTGCCCCCTCATTTTCTGTGAAATCATTTACGTGTTTCTGTGGAACAACGTACATAGGCCTCACGGTCAGGTGTTTGTCCGAACGAATCCGTGAATACCACTCCGCATGGCTAAACACAGGAACGATTAAGTCACTCACTAGTGCAGTGGTTTCATACTTAGTTGAAACAAATCACACTGTAAATGTGACCGAGGCATTTCGTACCCTGTATCGAGTTCATGGTCGATTATCAACGATCGGATGACCTAACAATTATGTGATCATTGAGAATTCCACATCCAGTCCCAAGACGAAATTAATCCCAGATAACCCATAAGGTTATTTTCCCTTTCCGAAAACAACTGTTCGCGTTTTATGGTTGAATACTGATTTATATATAAACAGCGTAATATTTGTTGTGATGTATTTGGCATGACCACGAATCACTAAAAACGAGCTTGTTCGCCACTCCTTGTTCTATTTGAAATATTGTTTTACCTATCTAGACACATACGCGTTGATTACTAAAAGTTTAAAAATATCCTTTTACTTTCTTTTTTATTTGCTGAATATAGCAGTCTACAGTCAACATTCAGGAAGGCGGTTGTGGTCAATAAAAGGCTGCCTAGGAATACACAGAAATAAGGAAGACGTTTGGTGGTGGAGTGGTTTGAACTCAGGACATTTGGTCACAACTTGATGACCTAACCAATTGGCCACCACTGCCCTTACTAACATAAAGGAGATGCTGCTGAACTAAGAAAAATTATTCGCCCAGGTCAACTACAACAACGCTAACTGCGAAAAATGTACTGGTATTTGTGTGACGAGCAAACACGGGAACAATCTCAACATTTCCCCTTCAAGTTTTTAGTATGAGATGGATCGATCTGTAACCACTTCGTCGGATTTCCCAGTTAGTGAATTCAACAGTTCGTTTATTTGTTATAGAGCTAACGATGGTTGATGCGATACCAGAGCGTGAGGAAGCAATTGTTACAGTGGGGTCTGGAAGGGCGAACTTGCGTAGCATGAAAATGTTCCATGGTTTTCTATCTCTCCACGGCTATCACTGAATCTGGTCCCGTGATGCGTATCTCAACGATGCCAGTTAGGAGACAGTTTGCAAACAATGTAAACCTATGTTGGTAATGTCAGCCAAACGTGGACTGAAAAAGGGAGAAACGTGCGGTAGATGTGACATTGACAACAGCCGGTATCGGGGTTATGAGGGCGTCGACAGAGAAGTTGCATAAGCCAGATTGCCGTTCTCTGTTTGTCAACCTGATGAATAAGTTCATTCATGACCCTCTAGAAAACATCAACACCTTCTCGTAGTGGCAACTGATCCCAATTCACTTCAAATTCAAACCGCGAGAATTCTCGGGGGAAGGTTAGGCTTTCCTTGACACACTAGAATGAACCAGGTAATCCGCGTTTTCATTTTACCGACGGAATCGATTACAATGGCTGGACTAGACTTTATCCCCGACAAGAAAATCGGGCAACATGTTACTTCGGTGGGCTATACAGGACGTCCCTATCCAATGCGAGAAACTGTCCCCGGGTAGCAAGCTCGTAAGCACTTACTGCGTTATGGAGTAGTACCCTAGTTACAGATTGACATGCTCGCGATGCGGTTGAAATAGGTGCATTCAAAAGGCTTGGCAACTGTCAACCCCACACCACCTCGAGGGATATAGTCTCTTGTTAGAAGCTGGAAAGGAGGTCCTTGTCTTTATTTTGAAGCCGTTTTTTTCATAACAAACTATTCTGCGCCTGTGACTTCCGTCGAGAACAAAAGTGTCACGTGCTCGAAAATACATAAAAATTCATGATATTCGTTATTTCTGAATCTGTACTGTACATAGTAATATTTTATTCACATTTAGGCACTGTGTTTATGCTTAGATTGGCTAACAGACAACTCATTCAAAATACTTAATACGAGGGTTGCAACTGAGCCAAAGAATAATCTTTATTGAATGTAGGATAAGCGAAAAAAAATTGTCGTCTCATTCATATTGGATGCATTCAGATACAGTCTAGAAGTAAATTCTTATCCAATGCGTTAAGAAAACGATAAGGACACTAGGACTACAATGGATACAATAGTAATGAGTGTTACATGTGAGATAATGACCACTCGTGACACAAGTGAATTAGGCGTAAAACGCTTCGGACAGTGCGAACAATACGTTTTCATTACATGATGAATCGATTTCTAATCACCTTATCTCCTCCTACTAAATGAATTAAGTAGTATTCTCAGAAGTGTAGTAGCCATAGTGGGTTACTGTTAAGAATCGGTGTCTCACGAATTGCACGCATCTCTATCATTAATCTGTGGCAAAATCGGATAGGTGACATATCATGTAGTGTTCACGTAGAGGTTACCACGGAAGTCATCCAGGGTATCCTAGTGATAAAGAGTCGGTTTCATTCACAGTGATTTAGTCAAGATGACATCCTGACTGCGTATATCGAACTAAGAACATGAGACTACCTACCACTCATCTCTCTAATTTCCCCCCCCCCCCC